TTTTTTTTCTACAAAAGGAAACATTATTATACTCACTTTTGAGACGTTCCTCAACGCATTCCTTGAGCTTTGGATCCTCAACCCTCGTCCTTCTCCATTGCCTCTGAAACGTTCAGACATGCTATCTCGAAAATATATTACCATCTCCGACCCTCATTTCTTTTGATATGTGCAAAGTATCTCAAAGGTTAACGGACATTTTCACAAGGCTCGCGCTGTCCATTTACATTTTTGGTCGCTGCTTTTAGTAGTAAATTTTGTCTTTATAAATATTGTAGTTTTAACGTTGCTTCAATGTATAGAGCGCATGAGACTTTGTAGGGGGAATACTATATCACGTATGTCTTTGGTGGATGCCAATTTATAGTTTAAATTTTTTGACTATGGATGAATTGTCGTGGATTTGACCACGAATTTCCTGTGCCATTTACTTTCATACTTTACCGAAACGATCGGGCGTAGAATCGGTATAAAAATCGAATTGGTCTCGATTAGTGAAATTTTACATATGTGCTTCGTTCCGATATGTCGAAAGAACTGTAAATAAGGTATAGAGCGCGTTTTCGGATGTAATAAGAATTTAAAGTGGCGAAATATTAATTTCAATCAAAAGAATGCCTTCTACATCGCTTTTGTGCCAAATATATCGTTTTTATTATAAATATTAATCGGACAAGTTTGTGTGAATTTTTATTCAAATTTAAAAACCTTTAAAATTGAAAAGGTTACAAGAATCACATTATTTGGAAAAGATCGCTTTAACAGTAATAACTTTTTCTTTTTAATATGGATTCTGTTGATTAAGGTGCACATGGTCTGTCAGGTGTATGAGAGCTCTTTAAAAGCTGGTGTTTTGCTCAATTTATCTGCAAGTTTACTAAGATACCGATTACGGACATCAGATTCATCCACAGTATAGGATATGGCTGTAGTATGATAGTAAGTGAAGATGAATTTTCCAAAACCTTGCTTTCCATCGAAAGCGGTCTGATGGTTTTTTCTTTCACGGTAGGGCCATTTACGGCGATAAGCATAAAGCTGATCGAACTGTTTAATCGGTGCCTTAGAAGTTTTTATCGCTTAATTTTGCATATATTAAGAGCTCATCGTGCATGTATGATTTTTATATGCAGATGACTTGAATTCATACAAACACTTTTTAAGCAAACAAGAGATTGACTCCATCACCTATCCACCTTAACATTACAGTAAATTCATGCGCTGCGAATCAGATAAGAAATTCAAATTAGCTTGTAAAATCCCAACAGATGCGATTTCACTAAGACACGAGATGCCTGAATTTTACAAAAAAGGTGTTGGAGTATTTACTTTTGTGCTTTCTCAGTTCACATAGATTTAAATCAATAGGTCATTTGCCCGTAATGTTTTGCAGAACGAGTATGCTTTTCAGAAAATATATAGAGTACTGCCGGAACTTCCGCTCTGAGATTTCAATCTGAAGAAACGCTTTAGCCGTCTATAAAACTATTATTATCTGCTATTATCTATTATGTTAATTGCTATCGATTTGTGTTGGAAGAGGCTTATTATTAGCTTTCAAAAACTGTTTGTTAGTGAACTATCAGACTTGCGTTACCGATACTCTCCGGCATGTGTTAGAGTTACAATTTTCAACCTTTTTTTCTTAAACAACGTTTCCACTAGAGATTTATCTGAGAAAATACGAAGAAAACCTTACCATGACAACTTCCATATCTCTGTTACACAGATCGTCTCTACATGAGCAAGTTATAACATTATCCTGGACAAAACACTGTTTGTCATACTAAACTGATAAGTTTTTATGCCAAAAAAGGAATTATTTGCTTTTTTCGATAATTACCTGATGATCCACACCAAATGCGTGATAGGATTGAGGAGAGTCGGAGTCGCAAGGATCACGAATTTGGAATGAGCACATCTGTTTCATTGGCTGAAAATTTAAAGCTTTTAACAACTTTGGAGACGGTGAGAGCAGTCTATTTTGTTTCTTCAATAATGTCGCCGTCATTAATAAATAATACTCTAAGGTATGTAGCCCCCGTGATGGTCTACCGCCTCATCGTGGCGCGGGGGTAACTCCGGATGTCGAACTGCGAAGTACAGCGGAGGTTTCTTTTCCAGCAAGGTCTCCCAAGCTGAGAAGGAGTTTGACGTTTCCGGTTCTCCGGATGCCCAGCTAAGAGTAG